TTCAATACTCAAGTGATTCAAAAACGAAAATCATACTTCTTGATGATACAAAGATAATGGTACCTTTTTGATGGCTAAATCACCGTGGTTTGGCTGGAAAATGGCTCGAAAGTGGCTGTTTTGGTCTCTAGTTTGCCACTTTCGAGCAGTTTTCCGGCGAGTTTTCAATTTTTCACTCGAACCAGTCAACTTTGAGGCTATTTTCCGGTCATCTCTAGCAATCATTGGGCTTTGAAATAGGTATAATCTTATTCTACACCTTCCTATTTTCATTTTGATATATTATGGGTCGAATTTGGTTAAGAAACAATTGAGTTACGAAGCTTTGAAAATTGCCCAAACTTCCGGCCAAGAGCTCCAGGACACTTAACGGAGTTTTTAACGGAATGACCAAAATGATGGATGGTGGACAATCTCAGGGACTACTTTTATCGATTTGGAATCTCAGGGATCAAAGTGATGCGTTATGCAAGTCTCAGTGACCATTTTGACAATTTACCCTTAATTTTATTGTTTATGTTGTATCCACATTTCTGAATGAATTAGGATCCGAGGGTTTTGGTTTAAGTAAAAAAGGCGGACTATGGAGATGGGTATTGGAAGGAAAGATTAGTTGGAGGAATATTGTGGAAATTTCTAGTCAAACTTTGTCTGTATGCAATGCACGATCTTGAAGTAGTAGTCTTACTCTTACTCTTACATGCCATCTTGGAGGCCGTTATGTATTTTGCATGTTGCTTAATAAACTTGGTCTGCAAAATGCTTATAATGACATTCTTGAACTCTGCAGGATCTGAAAGTAACGCCAAAGTATTTGGTATCATTTACTGTTGGTATAAACCAGAAAAAGAATATTGATGCAGCCGTTAAAAAGGTTGAAAAATGTGTTATCTCCTTTCTTTTTTTCTCTTAATTATTGATTTGATGTTCAAAAATACTGAGGTTCGATCTTACATTTGGTAGTTCTCCGAGAACTTCACAATATTACTCTTTCACTATGATGGCCGGACTAGTGAGTGGGAGGAGTTTGAGTGGTCAAAGAGGGCAATTCATGTTAGTGTGAAGAGACAAGCAAAATGGTAAGTCTCAATGGTGCTTTTCATAGTTTAAAGTTCTCATAGTGTGACCTTTTCAATTAACAAGCTTTTCAAAATTTAAACTCGTTGTCTTTTTCTTCTTATTGCTTTGTCATTTAGAAATGGATCCTTTGCAGCCAGTTGTCATACTGTCCATTGCTTTGCAGGTGGTACGCAAAGAGATTTTTGCATCCTGATATCGTAGCAACTTATGAATATATTTTCATTTGGGATGAAGATTTGGGAGTAGAACATTTCAATGGAGAGAAGTAAGTTGTCTTTCATCAAACATGGTTTCTGGTCTTACTTTATCCATTCATGTCTTCTTCTCATTCCCTTTTTACCTTATTCTCCAATTAATGTTCCGTGTGATTACCAGATATATACATTTGGTCAAGAAATATGGTTTGGAGATCTCTCAACCTGGTCTTGAGCCCAATAATGGACTGACATGGGAGATGACAAAGAGGAGAGGTGACAGAGAAGTTCACAAGTACGCTCTTTCTCTTCTTTCACTCAATTCCCCTTGCCCCCTATACACTGACACTCAAAGCACCATGCAGATATAAATGTTCCATGTATTGGAAATTAATTTCCTTATGTCTGGATTGATAAACAGGGATACTGAAGAGAAACCAGGCTGGTGTAGTGACCCACATCTTCCTCCTTGTGCTGCGTATGATCTCTCTCTCTCTCTCTCTCTCTCTCTCTCTCTCTCTCTCTCTCTCTCTAGCATGATTTTCTGTGGACATGTATGTTGTTATGTGCATGCATATGGGTCTAACTGTCTAAGATTGTGTGTGTTTTCCTGCTCTCAAACAATATGCATACATCTTGGGTGCTTATAGAAAAAATTTAAAATAACATGGTCAATATTGAACATGAGCTGTATTCGGTCTAAGTGTTTACTAAGTTGTTCAGAGGGCATGCTTGTTATTATGGTTATACTTTTCGCAAGATTGAATGAACAACTTTAGCTTGAAGGAAGATTCAGTAGCTGGAAAAGGAGGGAGTTTGTTTTCTTTTAGTACAGGTCTCAGTTATAGTCAGAATGATTCTAACAGATCGACACTTCCATCTGAGTGTTCAGATTTGTGGAAATAATGGCCCCTGTCTTTTCTCGGGAAGCTTGGCGTTGTGCATGGCATATGATTCAGGTATGGTGTATCGTTGTAATTTCTGGCTGGCTATTGATGTAGTCATTTACAATATCTTGCAGATGATATGATCTTCTATTTTGAAGGATTTTTTTTCTTTTATAACTTCCCTGCAATGATAACAAAATGCTTGTTGTGTTCTTGTAGAATGATTTAGTGCATGGATGGGGATTGGATTTTGCTCTCAGAAGATGTGTAGAGGTTAGCAGTTTTTGCATTTTATTGTTCCTCTTCTTCGTATTTTCTTCCTAGGGTTTTTGCTGCTATGTTATTTTCCTTATATTGCTGGTTGTGTTTAAATTGCTCACTTCCAAACCTGCATTTGATGATGCCTCTCACAGTTCCATTTAGTTGTCCTTTTATTGCCCCCCTCCATTTTCACTAGCTGAAAAATACTTTAAGAGAAGACTTTTAAAACTTTGTTAGTGATACTTATTTCTTTTGCATGAAAGTTCAGAGGTAATTTCATTTAATATCTGCAGAGGATTTCCATAAACGAAAAATCACGTACTGAGATTAAAAAATTAATTGCATAAAGTACAAGTAGGAGACTTTTAGTCAATAGGATTATGCCTAACCTCTTTGTTGGATAGATCATTTATGAGTTCTGCTCTCGATATGAGTGCCTGCGATTTACGAACATATTTATTAACATGTGTTTGAGATGTGGTATCTATTTCTGGAATTCAATTCATCTGGAGTAGTAAAAGTAGGCATGAGATAGCCTGTACCATTCTGGAAGCGTTGCAATTGCTAGATAAGCTAGGCTTTTCTATTCTTAAAAAAACCCTAATACTTTTGTTTTCTATGCTTTTTTTTGTCTCACCAGCCTGCACATGAAAAGATTGGTGTAGTTGATTCACAGTGGATTATTCATCAAGTAATTCCTTCTCTTGGGGGCCAGGTGAGTCATCGTTGGTATCTTTTCTAGATAGAGAATCCATGCATGTATCGGCATATTTATATGTATATCGTACATGGACTATGACCAAAACAAAAGTCATACATAGACGTCTGCCCTTCCCGTATAGGGTACAGTAATAGTTAAGCAATGCATACATCTTGCTTTGGTTAAGTGTTTAGAATATTATATGAAACATGAAACGGTTGATATTTGGTTATTATCTTATATAAGGATTGATACAGGTGTTGATGGGGAAGCTTATTAATAGTTTCTTGTTTTTTTACGCGATGTTTTTTTTTTTTTTTTTTTTTTTTTTTGTCAAAGCTTTTGACGTGATGGTGTTAGCACTCTGTCTGATGTGAGGTTATAATTGATAAGTTTTCTACTTTTAAATTGGTAACAAGCAATTTTCTACCTTGACAAGGAGGAAGTTATCATATCATTTTGTAGCTACTTGTTTTGTTGTTGTCGTGAATTGTGTTAAATCCTTATGTCATTGCTGTAATAAAATAAGCTGTTGATCTTGATCCTTCTTAAATCATCATGTTCAGGGAAATCAGGAGGATGGAAAAGCTCCATGGGAAGGGGTACGTGATATGGTAAAATAAGAAATCGTACTTTCTTTTTCTCTTATTGCCTTAAACTTTAGAAGTTTAGCTACCATCTCGATTATTTTCGATAATTTTTTCATGGTTGTGACCATTTAGACTATAATATCCCATGATTAGGCTTCCTTTCCATGTATTTACTGGATTAGTAAATCAACCTTTTCCATACTTTCTTCTGCTTTCAAATCCTTACATTCATAATTGTTGGGGGGAAAACTGCATAAACCTATTGTGTTCATTCCCATGTCATTCAATGCTACGTAGTAGTGGAAAAAATTCCGTGATTGTGACTGACTGGTTACTTTTCTTGCCTGGTTCCTTGCAGGTGAGAACAAGGTGCAAAAATGAGTGGGCTGAATTTCAGGCTCGCCTCCTTGGCGCAGACCAGGCATACCTTGCTCAGAAAGGAAGGGGGTAAATATACAATTATCCCGTTAAACAAAAGCCTTTACCCCCCACCCCCACACATCCCTCTGTCTCATTTTGTACATGTTTAGCTTGGACACAAAGGAGGGAGGGGAGGGTGTCGGAGGAGTCCAATTCCTATTGTAATGTTTTCTCCCTTTGCTGAGATGTATCTTAAACGTCGCTAGTTTTATCAGAGAAGAGAGAAGTTTACCGTCTGAGATCGACTGAGTCAAGTTTCTACCTTGTTCTTTTTCACCAAGGTACAGAAAATTTACCGTACCAGTTTCTTTCACCAAGGGAATTGTGGTCTGCGAAGGGAGTTGCATTCCAATTCTGAATGAATTCTGAAATTAAACTATTTATATACAGTACAGCACATCAATGCCATCAATTCCTCTGCGGCTGCTTGTTGGTTTTGCTTCTTCTCTAAACTGTCACTGGGTTAAAAGGCTGATTCATATGGTATCGATACGAAACGGGTGTTAAAGAAGATCTAAACTATTATTTAGATGTGTTTACGAGTTTGGAGATCAAATGATTAAGCTTTGGTTCATCAAACGATTTATTAAAATCGATTTTAAGGTCTAACTGGCGAGCAAGAACTTTTATTCTGGGTGCAAATGAAGGGAAAGCGTAAGATTTTCAAAGTATGAAATTCCGAGTAAATTTAAAATAAATTTGTTTGCAGAAATTAATCAAATAGCTTTAATATTTTTTAACATCTTACATATAACAATACTACTGAAGAAACGAAATTACAACCTCTATATAAAATTTAGTTACAGATTTTCAATGCCATCAACTAATTTGTATCTTAATATATCCATGATCTCTCCTCAGCTAATCATCAGTTGTTTCTCTTCTTCTTCCCGCCACTTTTGTCATTCTTCCGCAGCCGGCAAATCACAGAAGGAAATTCGTAGCGATCCTTTGAGGCCGTTTGAGCACGGCCGTCAGCACCAACAAGCAGACTATATTCATCTAAAATCCACCCTCCGTGCTCCTCCGACCCTCGATTCTCGTACAGGAACATTTTCTTCCTCCCCATAGGATTAGGGTGTCCGTCCTCATTGTAAACCAGCTTAGTGGGTTGTTTTTCGCTCCAAATGCCTTCCCCAATGTTGCGACGGATGCGCAAACCAGTCGGGGATAACCTCTCGAGCTCGCAGAAGAAATATAAGTCTTGATTAAAGTGGTCATCTCCTCCATATTCTTCCCAAATCTCCCATGGCTCTTTGAAGTCAAAGAGGTCCTCCTCATGCACATACTCGTTGTATGGCGGCAGTAACAGCTCACGCTTAACCGCCATCCTGTAAAGAAAGGAACGGATGATCTCTTGGTCCGTGGGTTGGAAGCAGAAAGCATAAGGCACAAGGGTCACAAGGGGTCCGACCATTGCAAACACAAAAAGAAAAGTGAAGTACGTGCGTGGTTCTTGTTTCTGTATATGTTTGCTTAAGTTTTGATGGGAAGAGAGAGCAAGAGACCAGTGATATTTATAAGCGAGTAGGCGTAGGAGTGGCCGAGTAGGAGTAGGAGTAGGAGTAGGAGTAGGAGTAGTATTATCCTAGGGTTAGTGAGTTGCTTGGAGAACAAGGAATTGGAAGTAACTAGGGTTTTGGAATTTGAACTTAATAAGAATCTCTCCTGGTCGAATCAGGAAAGCTTAATTATTAGTGAAGTTATTTTTTATTTTTTTGTCAAACGATAGAAATTAATAAAGTAGGATCCTCTGCTTATTTTCACGTGGTAACGAAGGAGATTTGTATTGTGCAGCTTATATATATATATATATATATATATATATATATATATATATATATATATATATTTCTATTTTTGCACCTTTACATGTTAATTACTAACATCAAATAATACCAAAAAAAATTGTATGAATGTAGAAAACCGATTTCGGGCACAGTCGAGTACTCTGCCATTAACTGTAGAAAGCATAGTGCTCTTTTGACTGATTTTGGAGCCGTTGGCGATGGAAAAACTTCCAACACAAGGGCCTTCAAGGCGGCCATTGATCATTTAAGCCAGTTTTGCATCTGACAGTGGAGCGCAGCTTATTGTACCACCGGGGAGGTGGCTCACTGGAGCTTCAACCTCACCAGCCACTTTACCCTCTTCCTCCATGCCATTTATTCTTGCAACTCGGGTCTGAATTTCTTGCCCCTTTTTGTGTGATTTCTTCAGTTTTTTTTCTGCTTATTTTTGTATAGTTCCGTCTTTGTTTGTTTATATATGGTTGACATCATACGATCAAATTTCATGCTTTTTATGCGATATTCCTCTAATTTATTGTGTGTGTGTGTGTCTATATATATATATTATACGTACGACGATTAATCACCTTTATATCATAGAATTAGCTTATAAACTTAGTTTGATTGTAATTACAAATTTACAACCAATTAAGCATATATTTAAGTAACAAATACCTAAATGCATAACGCAAGTATATGTGTACATGCTATGTATATATTGTGAGTTGTGATGGTGAAGTTAAATGAAACTGAAGCATATCAACGTAATATGGTCTATATATAATTGGAAAACGTATGGTGATTGGACAATTGTGTAATCAATTTTTCTTCAAATCTGAATTATTAGATTGTAATCTTCCTTGATTTCCTTTCTTTCTATCTGACCATCTTTTTCATATAAATTTACGAACTATTTACTATTTACCTTTCTTTATTGTGCTTATTCTTTTCCCATCCTAATGAACAGGATGAGTCAGAGTGGCCTCTTCTTCCAGTACTGCCTCATATGGGAGAGGCAGAGATGCTCCTGGTAGAAGGTTCAGCAGTCTCATCTTCGGAACAAACCTCACCGACTTGAATTACCGGTAACAACTGCACAATTGACTGCCAAGGTGCTTCTTGGTGGGAAAAGTTCCGCAAGGGTCAACTGAACAACACCCGACCATACATGATTGAGATTATGTACTCTAATCAGATCCAAATTTCCAATCTTACTTTGGTCAACTCTCCTTCGTGATTTGTCCATCCCATTTACAGCAGGTTTGACCATTTTTTTAGCTAATGCACGTAATCAGTCACATCAGCACATGATATTACGTGAGAGTGTGTCCGGCACACTGAAATATTTCCACTGTACACAATGTGGCCGACATTGTGGTTTTTATCTTTCAGCAATATAATAATCCAAGGGCTAACAATCCTTGCACCAATTGACTCTCCCAACACAGATGGGATAGACCCAGGTTGGTTAAGTTGCTTATTCTTTGTTCTAGCTCTTGGTCATTAGTGTTTAATTGAAACTTAGACATAGTTAAATAACTATATATATCTACAATCCTTTTGTTTGGCTTCCTTTTTAGATTCTTGTTCACAAACTAGAATCGAGGACTGCTACATAGTCTCGTGAGATGACTGCATAGCAGTAAAGAGTGGAAATAGAATTTTACGGCTTAATTTTCCATGTATTGCATAATTGGGAATATATTACATACAATCCTTGTTCTCCAAGGTAAAACTAAAAAAGGACAAAAGAAATATCCTTCCTAATAAAGGACTCTAATATTTACACAATATTTACATTCCTATTCTAAAACTAACTCACGCAACACTCCCCCTCAAGTTGGAGCATAGATGTCACACATGCCCAACTTGACAAGTGAGTCACCAAAAACTCTTCTACACACGGCATGAGTGAGAATATCGGCAAGCTGTTCTTCTGAGTTCACAAATGGTACTGACACAATCTTCTTCTCGAGCTTTTCCTTAATGAAATGTCGATCAACCTCCACATGCTTCGTTCTGTCATGTTGTACCGGGTTCTCTGCAATTTCTCGTGCCGACTTATTGTCACAATACAACTTTATAGCCTCCTTTGGTTTGAAACCAAGACCCCAAAGCAACTTACGTAACCAAAGAACTTCACACACTCCATGTGCCATACCTCTGAATTCGGCCTCTGCAGAAGACCTAGACACCACATTCTGTTTCTTACTTCTCTAAGTAACCAAATTTCCACCAACGAACGTAAAATATCCAGAAGTAGAACGCCTATCAGTCACATCACCGGCCCAATCAGCATCAGTGAACCCCTCAATTTTTAGATGACCAGAATTTCTATACAAGATTCCTTTCCCTGGGGCGGACTTTAAATACGCCAAGATACGCATAACAGCAGCCATATGATCCACACTTGGCGAGTGCATAAACTGACTCACCACACTTACTGCATGGGCTATATCTGGACGGGTATGAGCTAAATAAATTAGTCTTCCTACCAGTCTCTGATATCTGCCTTTATCCACTGGTTCTTGATCCGGATAAATCCCTAAGTGATGTTTCTCCACAATAGGCGTATCCACAGGTTTACACCCAAGCATACCTGTTTCCTTTAACAAATCAAGAACATATTTACGCTGAGACAAGAAAATACCTCTAGATGACCGAGCAACTTCCACGCCAAGAAAATATTTCAAATCTCCCAAATTCTTCATCTCAAACTCGGCGGCAAGGTTTTGTTCTAGCTTCATCATCTCTTCTAAATCATCACCTGTTATTATCATGTCATCCACATAAATAATTAAGGCTGTCACTTTACCACTTCCCCGTTTCACAAATAATGTATGATCCGAGTGACTTTGATAATACCCAATTCGTCTCATAACTTGGGTAAATCTACCAAACCACGCACGAGGCGATTGCTTAAGTCCGTAGAGTGACTTTCGCAACCTACATACTCCGGTTTTCCCTCCGGCATCGTACCCCGGAGGAAAATCCATATATACCTCTTCTTCCAAGTGCCCATGAAGAAAAGCATTTTTCACATCAAACTGTTTTAGTGGCCAATTCAAATTTGCAGCTAAAGAAATCAGAACTCGTACTGTATTCATCTTCGCTACTGGAGAAAATGTCTCCTGATAATCAACACCATAAGTTTGAGTATAGCCTTTTGCTACTAACCTTGCTTTATACCTGTCTACCGATCCGTCTGCCTTGTATTTGATCGTAAAGACCCATCTACACCCAACAGGTTTCTTTCCTTTAGGTAGCTCCGTTACCTCCCATGTATCATTCTTATGTAGTGCCATCATTTCGTCATCCATCGCAGCAGCCCATTTAGGATCCTTCAAGGCCTCCTCAACTCGGGTTGGTGCTTGGATTGCTTCCACATTGTTTACCCAGGCTTGACGTTCTGGTGCAAGGTTTGAGCATGACACATAATGAGCTATTGGATACTTCACTTTTCCTTCAGGAGAAAACCTGTCAGGAGGAACACCACGATTTTGCCTTGGCGGCAACTTATATGTACTCATAACATTATCTGGATTAGTTACATGAGCATCAGTAGTACTTACCTCAAAAATATTCAGAGAAGACATTGGGTGGCACTATTGAGCTTGAGAGAGAGGGGGTTGCGGGTTCGGTAGCTAATGGTTGCTGGAGCGGTGGAACTGTTTCGGCAACTCCCTGCTGACACTCTACATCGCACTCGGCAATATGTTGTTGAGAAGACTCAGCTGGTTCGGTGCTACCTGGCTGAATGATACTCACATTCTCGGCAGTTTCTTGCTGAGAGCTTTCACAACTGTTTTTGTCGATAAATACTCCCCCTGAGCTACATATTTCCAACCACCCAAGATCACCACTCATATTCTCCCCCTGGTGATCGGAAGGTGATGGAGTCGAATCATAAAAGATCTCACATTCAGAAAAGGTAACATCCATAGTTACATACATATGATGAGTTTCAGGGTGGTAGCACTTATACCCTTTCTGTTGAGGAGCAAAGCCCAGAAAAACACACCGGTGAGCACATGGATCGAGCTTACTACGATGAATCTTGTGAATATGAACATAGGCTACACACCCAAACACACGAGGAGAAAGAGTATTAGTTGATACTACTGGAACAAATTCTGTCAATACTGGGAGAGGTGTACGAAAATCCATAACCCGGGATGGCATACGGTTAATCACATACACGGCATAGGTGATAGCTTCAGGCCAGAACCGTTTAGGTACAGATGCACCAATGAGCAAGGCACGAGCAGTTTCCAGGATATGACGGTTCTTTCTTTCAGCAACCCCATTTTGTTGTGGGGTATGAGGGCAAGTAGTCTCATGTAGAATTCCTTGATCCCGAAGAAAGCCGGACAACTCGGACCCAATATACTCACCTCCATTATCAGAGCGGAGAACCTTAATAACAGAGGAATATTGTGTTGTAACAATTTGAGAGAATGATCGAAACACCATACCCACATCACTTTTATTCTTCATCACATAAATCCAAGTCATACGAGTGCAATCATCAACGAAGGTA